GTGTGTGAGTGTCAGTGTAAGTGAAGAGAGCAAGCAGGCGAGCGTATTTTTAATGTTGGCGGTGTGGTAACTAAACTTTAACCGGGGGTAGTACTGCTTTTTAATACAGCACAACATTTCTTGGTTATTGCGCTTAATGTTGTTTTTGTTGTTGTTATTATTATTTAGTGTATAATATGGGCGCATACAAACACATATTAGGAAAAAACACACACACACACACATGCGTGTATGTGTGTGCGTTTGAAAGTTTGTTGTTGCTGTTTAGAAGTGTAATGAAAAAAAAAAATAAAATCAAATGGTGGTAGTGAAAGGTAATGAGTCAACACACAACTTATATATTTCACATATCTATGTACATAAATACATACTTAGATAAATTATATACATATAGTTAAGTATATAATGTATAATGTATAGTTAAGTATAATATGTATGCATGTATGTGTTTTTTCTATTGTCCATATGTAATCATTTGAACAAAAAAAAAATCTCACTTAGATACCTAAAAACTAATTCTATGATTGAAAGCGAATTGAAAAACAGAGAGAAATTAGAAACAAATCTATGAATTATTCGACGAGGCCCAAAACTTCGATTTGGATAACCTAAAAATATTACCCGTTTTTTTCGGAAACCTTTAATAATTATTCACATTATTTTAATATTATAAAAAACCATACCTCATTATAAAACAAAATATGTCCACTTTATTTGGATAACATAAAAACATTATCAGCGTCGTCATATACTTTATTTGGATAATCTAAAATTATTATCCGTGTCCTTTGTATAACCAAAAATTATTATCCACGTCACTTGGATAAGCCCAAAAGTTAAATCCGATTCATTTGGTTAACATAAAAATATTATTCGGTTCATTTTAATAACCTAAAAATATTATCCGATGTATTTGGATAACCTAAAAATAGTATTCGCCTCACTTAAATAACCTAAAAATATTATCCAAGTTCTTAGGACAATATAAACATATTATTCATTCCACTTAAATAACCAAATGCAATCCACGTTATTGGAATAACTTCAAAATGTAATTCGAGTCATTTGGAAAACCTAAAAATTGTATACACTTTATTTAAATAACTTGAAAATATTATCCACTTTATTTGGATAACCTAAAAATGTTATCCAAGTCGTTTGGATAACGTAAAATATATTATCCGCGTCACTTAGATAAAATAAAAATATTATCCGTGGACTTGCATAACCTAAAAATATTATCCGCTTCATTTATATAACCTTAAAATATTATCCGTGCCACTTGGATATGCTAAAAATATTATCCGCGTCAATTGGATAACCTAAAATATTATCCGCGTCAATTGGATAAGGGTAAAGTAACATCCGCGTTGGATAACCAAAAAATATTATAAGCATAAAAATATTATTCGAGCCATTGAGAATAACCAAAGCATATTATCTGTATCACTTGAATAACCTAAAAATAATATCGCGTCATTTAGATAACAGAAAAAGACTATTCGCGTCCTTAGGATAACTTAAAAATATTATCCGCATTATTTAGATAACCTAAAAATATTATCCGCGTCACTTGGATAACCTAAAAATATTATCCGCGTCATTGGGATAACCTAAAAATATTATCCGCGGCACTTGGAACACCTTAAAATATTATCCGCTTCACTTCGATAACCTAAAAATATTATCCGCTTTACTTCGATAACCTAAAAATATTATCCGCATCACCTGGATAACCTAAAAACCATTATCCGCGTCACTTGGATAACCTAAAAACCATTATCCGCGTCCATTGGATAACCCAAAAATATTATCTATGTCATTTTGATAACCTGAAACCATGTTCCACTTTACTTCGATAACCTAAAAACCATTATCCGCGTCACTTGGATAACCTATTATTATCCTTAAAATATTATCCGTTTTACTTGGATCACCTAAAAATATTATCCACGTTAATTGTATAACCTAAAAATATTATCCGCTGCATTTATATAACCTTAAATGAAGATAGGCTGACTTTTGGTGGAGTTATCCAGAAAAAGTGTTTTTACGAACGAATACAAAAAACTAATATTCCAATCAATTTTAAATTTCAAAACGTTAGCTAGTTTAACGCATAGCTATGAAGTAGGAAAACCCCAATCTGTGAAGATCTTTCATATTTAAATTGAAAGCTTCGCTATTTTGTTAATTTTTGTGCTTAGTTAATAAGACTAATTCATACCAGAGCCAGACATGTACTCTCTCTATTATCATTGAATTTAAGGTTTCTGATGTTCGGTTATCACTCCCGTTTCTTCTCCTTTAGTTATAAGTCGCAAAAAATTCAGGTTCAGATACCAGCAGCAAAAATTTCAAAATTTGAAATCGCAAATTTCTCCCCAATTTTATGAAAAAAAAAACAAAGCAATTTCCTTATTAGTATTTTTATATATTTATCTCTCTGTCTCTCCCTCTTTTCTCTTCTACTATTCTATAATTTTTTAACGGCCACACAAATTTCCATTAATTTGCCAATAAATCAATTATAATACTATCATTCCTTTATAAGACATTATTTCTCTCGTAGGACCATACTTTTTCAGAACATAACATTTTATGCTGGTGTTGGCAATTCACGGTATATTTTTCTAAATCTCTTGTATATGGCTCATTAGTTTGGCTCTCTCTTCACAGTGTTGTTATTCTATGCCCACATCAGGCAAAAACACGCGCGCGTCCTCTCTCGCGAAAGTAAATAACAGCATACTCTCATGAACAATCAATTAAAACAACTGAAACCCCATTGACACACACACATCGACAACTCTTCACAGTGTTGGGTTTTTTTCATTCTCAACACAGTGTTTGTTGTTATTCTATGTATGAAATCCCCAACACATGTGCGCGTATGAATAACGTGTTACATTATGATCACTGATGTCACAATCGAATGATTACTGCTTTTGCAATTAGTAAGCAACGTAACGTATGGGCAACATTACTGTAAACAGTGTAAATGGGAAAAAGTAGGCAATGGCTTTAATTAAAAGGCGCAATATGATAAATAAGAAAACATAAAATGTAATTCTCCCCTCTCTCTCTCTCTTTCAGTATGTTGATTATTATTTCTTTGTTTACATATTTGACCATGGTTTAAGTGCTGTCAATGAGTTGAGGATAATGGGGTCATGTAATTAGTAAACGACGTAACGTATAACCGCAATGTAATTGATTTAACGCATTTTAATACAGAAAATAATTAATTAATTGGTTTATCTGTGTACTGATAGTTGCATTGAGTGATATATAGAGTATTTCAATGGGTATATTTTGTGAATTAGTTCAATTAAAAGGGGAAAAGGGAAAATGTTTGAAGTAATTAACTTGATTACAGTTAGGTGAAGAGCTGCCATTTCCTGCAACTCTCCCACTTACAAAATAGAGAAGTGATGCAATTAAAATAATTGTCAAGCTGACAATATATTTTGTAAACAGTTGACCATGTAACGTAAAGTATAGATAGTGGATAACATAAAAATATTATCCGTGTCATTTGGATAGTATAAAAATATTATCCGAGTCACTTGGATAATCTGAAAATATTATCCGCTTGATTTATTTAACATTAAAATATTATCCATGTCACTTAGATAACCTAAAAATATTATCTGCATCACTTGGATATTATCCGCGACACTAGGATAACCAAAAAATATCCGCTTCATTTATATAACCTTAAAATATTATGCGTGTCACTTGGAATTACCTAAAAATATTATCTGCTTCACTTGGATAACCTAAAAATATTATCCCCGTTAATTGGATAACCCAAAAATATTATCCGCTTCATTTATATAACCTTAAAATATTATCCGTGTCACTTGGATAACCTAAAAAATATTATCTGCATCACTTGGATAACCTTAATATAGTATCCGCGTCATTTGGATAACCTAAAATATTATCCCAGTCACTTGGATATACTAAAAATATTATCCTCGTTAATTGGATAACCTCAAAATATTATCTGTGTCATTTTGATAACCTTAAAAAATTATCCGCGTCACTTGTATAACCTAAAAATCTTATCCGCGTCACTTCGATAACCTAAAAATCTTATCCGCGTCACTTGCATTATGGATTAATAAGTAAAGTTGTACTCCTCTTTAAATATTTATTTGTTTAATATCAGCTGTCAATAATTGTCAAGTTGACAATATATATTGTAAATAGTGGATCACGTAACGTAAAGGTAGTAGCATAGCAGTCAGTACGTCGAGTAAATTTGTAATTCTAATTGGATTTTGATTGGTTGAAGGAAACCTATGGTGTTAATTCGTTATATAACTATAAAAGAGTTCTACAAAAAAAAATTGCCTATATTTATAAAATGTTAGAATATAACTACATAGAAAAATGTGAATAGAATATAATACTACATAGAATAGAATATAAAACCTAGTTTACATCAAATGTGTTTTAAGGAACACAATTGATAATATATGTCAAAAAGGTAAAGAAGTGATTAACGAGGGCAGTTAGGAAAGTTCTTAGCCCAGCACAAAAAACGCGGTATAAACAGAAAAACGTTAAGTGCTTTGGAAACTTCCATCTCTGTTATGAACACATGTTACATTTTGTTTCCATCTGGCAACGCCTTCATATAGAAACAGGTGTTCAAAAAAGACGCATTTTTAATTTTTCTATTGTAAAAAATGCAGGGGTGTCTTTTTTGAAAACCTGTTTCTATATGAAGGCGTTGCCAGATCGCAACAAAATGTAACATATGTTCATAACAGATATGGAAGTTTCCAAAAAACTTAACATTTTTCTGTTTCTAACGTGCTTTTTGTGCTAGGCTAAGAAATTTCCGAACAGTAAAAAAATGAAAATGGCGTTTCTAACTACATGAGGAAAAAATGTGCAAAGTTTTTTCGTTGATGATGAGAGGAGTGAGAATGAAAATAATAAATAAATAAAATAAAAATGATAATTATGATGATGAGTGAACCTACATCCATTAACAATGTTCCTAGTCCTTTCCGAAATATCCAAAATAGTTGACGTCATATGATCTTAAAAAATAAAGTTCGAAAAAAATGAATATACGAATGAAATGAAATGCAAAACACACACACAGACACTAAAATACCAAGAAAAATGGTAGAACACTTAAAGCAAAACAGAAAAAAGAAAACAAAAACAAAAAAGAGAGATTGAAAAAAATCAACTTACCATTTGGTACATTCTGTTGAAAATGATTGCCATTCGTTTGATAGCGTTGCACATGATTGTCATTGACGGTGGTGGTGCCGCCACCGGCCACATTGCCATTTATGCCGGGCGTTGTAAAGGCACCCGGTGGCGTTTGTGTATCATGGCCAAATTTAGCGGCAAACTGATGTATACCCGAAAACGGACCACCGAACGCGGAGAAATTCATCATTACAAAGTTTCAGGAAACTCCCCACCCAAAAACAAACACACACGGGCAGGCACACACCAACGAGGCGAAACACACACAGACACTCGTAGACGATGCTTCTCAGCTGATGATGATGACGACGTCGATGTTGTTGCTGTTGTTATTATGGTCGATTCTCGTGTTAAGGTGAAAGTACGACGAAAGGATTTTCTGTTGTTTGTTTTTGTTTTGATTTGATTTCGTGAGAGAGTTCAGCAGCGAGCCGCAATAAAAGAGAAATACATGAAATGAAGAAAGAATCAAAAAGGAAATTATAAATAAATTGAGTTAACTGGAAATTGGTTGTAAAATAACGGTTGATTTTTCGTAGAATTGTGTTGTAGTTGTTGTTGTTGCTGTTGTTATTGTAATTCGTATAGAGTATATAAATAACTTTCATTTTCCGTATAGTATTCGTAAATATATATATATATTTGAAAAAACAAAAACACACAAAAATATAAACAATATATCGTATAGACGAGGACGACAACGATGATGATGATGATGACGAAGTTTTTTGTTTGTAGTTGTGATAGAATCGATGATGATGACAAATTTTTGTGTGTAAAAAAATAAGGGGTGAAGGTTGAAGTTTTTTTTTTAATTTTGAATAAAAAAAATAGTAATTAAAAAAATATTTAGAACTTAAAAAAAATTATTTAGAATTTTGTTTAGAGAATTATTTAGAATTAGTTCTTTAAAAATATTAGAAACTAGCATATGCCCGCAACTTCGTTAGCGAATCTAGGAAATATTTAAACGTGTATTAACATCGACCATAAATTAAATTTGATTACCATTAAGTACCAAATTTCATGATTCCAGCTCTAAAGGTTCACCCAAATCCAAATTTTCCAATTAGCACACATTATTTCCATAAGTACCCTGTTCAACCATCCAACAAAACTTCATAAATACCCCGATCCTACACCATCACAATGATTCCAGATTCAAATTTCTGGATTCAAACTCTATTGGTTCACCCACAATTTAAATTGCACCAAATTTAGTACACAGTAGTACGAATTTCCAAAACTTCCTAAATACCCCAATCCTACACCCCGACAATGATTCTAAACCCAAGTTTCATGATTTCAACTCCATAGGTTAACTCACAATTCAAATTGTACCAAATTTTGTACACAGTAGTCCTACACCCCCACAGTGATCCTAAATCCAAGTTTCAGGATTCTAACTCTATCGGTTCACCCACAATTCAAATTGTACCAAATTTAGTACACATTAGTACTTATTTCCAAAACCTCCTTCCTACCCCAAACCTACACTCCCACAGTGATTCTAAATCCAAGTTTCAGGATTCCAACTCTATTAGTTCACCCATAGTTTAAATTGTACCAAATTTTGTACACAGTAGTTCGAATTTCCAAAACTTCCTTCCTACCCCAAACCTACACTCCCACAGTGATTCTAAATGAAAGTTTCAGGATTCCAACTCTATTGGTTCACCCACAGTTTAAATTGTACCAAATTTAGTACACAGTAGTACGAATTTCCAAAACTTCCTACATACCTCAATCCTACACCCCCCACTATATGTTCACCCACAATTCAAATTGTACTAAATTTAGAACATAGTAGTACCAATTTCCAAATCTTCCTACGTACCCCAATCCTACACCTCTACAGTGATACTAAATGAAAATTTCGGCATTCCAACTCTATCGCTTTACCCAAAATTCAAATAGTACCAAATTTAGTACACATTAGTACTAATTTCTAAAACTTCCTGCATATCTCAATCTTACACCTCAACAGTGATCCTGACTCCAAATTTCATGATTATAGCTCTATTGGTTCTCCTAAAATTCAAATTATACCAAATTTAGTACCGTTTAGTACACATAAGTATTATTTTCATAAATTGAATCCTGACCCCAATCCCACACCCCTACAGTAATCCTAACTTCAAATTTCATTGTTCTCGCTCTATCGGTTCACTCAAATTCAAACTGTTCCGATTATAGTACGATTTAGTACTTTCCGTACACACAAGTAACAAATTTCTAAAACTACGTTCATATCCCAAACTGTTCCGATTATAGTACGATTTAGTACTTTCCGTACATACAAGTAACAAATTTCTAAAACTACTACTTTTAATTTCAAATTCCAGAATTCCAGCTCGATATGTATCTCCAAATTAAATTTGTACCAAATATAGTACCATATAGTACTTTTCGTAGACATGAGTACACCCTTTAAAACCATCTCCTTAAATGGACCCTACCTACTTCTCAACCATAATTCACACTCCAAATTTCTAGCGCAATCCGTTCAAATGCTACAGAATTGTACCAAATTTAGTACATTTTCGTACTTTTCGGATAGTTATAGTTCGGATTTCCAAAAAAACCCTTTGCTACACCTATCCTACACTCCATCAGCGACCACCAATCCAAATTTCATAGTTCTAGCTCCACCGGTTCGCCAAATACAAATGGTATCACATTTAGTACTTTTTAGTACTATTCGTACCGTTCTAGTACGAATTTCGAAAAACCCAGCCTTATCTGTCACCTTTGAACCAAGAGTGACCCTCACCCAAAATTTCAAGATTCTAGCTTCAGCCGTTTCGTCTGGGTGTTTCATTCTGTGGGCCTAATTAAAACCATCATTTTCAAGGCTAAACAATGACGCACAAATAACTCTCAAAGAGAGCAAGCGTGCTGTTGGTGTTGATAATTCATTTTCCTATTATCACTGTATATATTTGTCTAACTGTTTTGTATATGGGTTTCTCTGGTTTGGTTCTCTCTTTATAGTGTTGGGTTTCTTGTACTCTCAACTCAGTGTTTGTTGTTATTCTATGTATGCACTCCACGCCGACACATGTGTGCGTATGAAGAACACGTTACATTGTGATCACTGCTGTCACAATCGAATGAGTATTGCTTTTGCAATTAGTAGGCAACGTAACGTGTATGGGCAACAATACTGTAAACAGTGTAAGTGGGAAAAGCAGGCAATGACATTAATTAAAAGGCGCGATATGATAAATAAAAACAAAAAATTAAAAGTAATTCTAATCTCTATTCAGTATTTTGGTTATTATTTCTTTGTTTACATAATATCCACCATTGTTTAAGTGTTGCCAATGAGTTGATGATAATGGGGTTATGTAATTAGTAAACAAGGTAACGTATAACGCAATGTAACTGAATAAATATAAAAAAATGGAAAAATAAAAATTAAAAAAAAAAAATAATAAGAAAAAAAAATAGTGCCAAAAATTTAAAAAGAAATAAAAAGATAAGAAAAAAAGCAAGAAATTCAAAAATAAAAAATATGTATTTTTGAAAAAATATGTATTTAAAAAATATATATTTTTGAAAAAAAAAACACATTTTTTATTGTTCAAAAAAACCTCCTTGAAATATTCGCCGGAAAAAACCCCATAAACATTATTGATCCGAAATAAATTCTATACCGATTTTGGCATGTCCGCCTGTCTGTCGGTTTAAATCCTGATAGAATGAAGCTCACAATATTTAAAAGAGAACAATTTTTTATAACAGAAATTATGGACATCGGTCCACTTTATGGTATAACACCCATAAAACGGACCCCCTATAATTCGGTTTGTTTCGCAAATTTTACAACCGATTGGCTGAAAATTTGTCAATAATGTCCTACTTTTTAGGGTAGCCACCATACAATGGTGTAATTTGTTAGTTTGGGATCTCATGGAGTACCAAATCCTTTTACCAAAAATTAACAATATTATTCCAATTTTTAGGGTGACCATTTTTTCGCTGTTTTGAGCATTGGATAGCAAATCTTCATACCAAAAATTATTAATATTGTTCTATATTTTTTAAGGTAGTCAGCATATAATGGAACCGTCCGATTTTTTGTACTTTGAGGAGTTTTGGAATATTTTTTAATCAAATTGCCTTTAATTTGGCATTTTGGGTTCTCATTGAGTACCAAATCTACCTACCAAAAATTATAATTTTTGGTCCACTTTTTAAGGTAGCCCCCATATAACGGAACCTTCCGATTTTCGGTATTTTGGAGATTTTGAACACATTTTTTAACCGAATTGGTTGTAATTTATTATTTAAGGCTAAAATTGTGTAACAAATCTCCCTACCAAAACTTATTAGGATAGTACCCATATAACGGAACATTCCGAACTGGGTGTAATAATGGCAAAAAAATCCAAAAATTTAATTTTAGTAATTTTTTAGACATTTGGGCATGAAAGTGTTTTGGTAAAGAAGCAATAAATAGCTTCTAGGGAGATTTTCCCAACAAAAAACTAAGGGAACTGATAAGGATCAGTGGCGAGATCTGAAACTATAGTCTTCCCTGTCTTACCCCTTGGTGGACAATGCCATACATCCCCCACTAATAAATAGTTGTTTTTACAAAAACAACAAACTGAGATTCAGTCTGATAATTTTGATAAAAACAACATTTTTAAAACTTTACAAAAAGTATTTTTTTAGAAATTAGAAAATTAACCAATTTGGAATGTTTTCTTTTAATTTTTCAAAATTATTTTTTTTAATATTTTAACTCATTTATTTATTTTCTTTTTATTTATTTTTTAACAAAAAAATGTTTTCTCCATTATTTAATATTAAATTTTTCTTAATTTTTTTACAAAATTTTTGAAAATTTTAGTTTTTTATTTTTTTTTAATTTTTTTTATTTTTTATTTATTTTTTTTAAATTTTTATTTATTTTTTTAATTTTTATTTATTTTTTTAATTTTTATTTATTTTTTTAATTTTTATTTATTTTTTTAATTTTTATTTATTTTTTATTACTTTTTATTATTATTTTTATAATTCTTATTTTTATAATTCTTATTTTTTTAATTTTATTTTTTTAATTTTAATTTTTTTTAATTTTAATTTTTTTTTTAGTTTTAATTTTATTTTTATTTTTTTTAATTTTAATTTTTTTTTTAATTATTAAATTTTTTTATATTTCTTTTTTTAATTTTTCAT